TCCGATAATGAATAACGTGCGCGGGAGTTCGGCATCAGGCTGCTTCTCATAGCCCTGGGTTTGTTCGGGTCCGCCATCACTAAGTTCAGCCATCCACTCACCTCGAAAGACTTTCTGGGCCAACGGGGCGCCGCGCGAGAAATGTCAGCGCGCGCCCGCTGCCCTGGAAACTTTCGACCCGAACGGCGACGTAATGATGGCGATGCATTGCCGACTACAACTGCGAATCCCGCCAGCCCTCTGGGCGTCGGTGGTTTAGAGAGTTTCCTCTTCCACCCCTCCGTCTTTCTCTTCGGGTGGGGTTTTACCCCCCCCCCCCCATGCCCCCTCCCCTGGACCTGGACGGGCGGGCCCGCGAGTCGCCGGAGCGCCCAAAACGGCCTCGGCGAGGAAGCCGAAACCATTGGTTACTTTGGTTTGGGCCACACTTTGGCCTCCTGATGGGAGGGACTGCAATTAGAACCCCCCCGCCCCGTGATCGATCTCACCCAAGACGGCCCAAAGATGACTCCGAAGGCCCCCAAGCGCGCCCCGAGAGGGCCCCAAGAGGTGGCCAGGCAGCCCCAAGAGGCCCCCAGGATGCCCCTACGAGGCCCCCAAGGGACCCCCAAGAGGCCCCAAGAGACCCCTCAGAGGCGCCCAAGATGCTCCGAGAGGCCTCGGCGAGAATGCCCAATCATTGATTCTACTGAGGTGTTAGCCACATATTGGCCTCTTGGGGGAGGCACTGGTTAATGTGACTCCAAGAGCGCCTGGGAGAGCCAAGATGACCTCCAAGATGGCTGAAGATATCCCAAGGTATCTCATACTGTCTCCCTCTGCGTGCTGCCCGCTTCCCTGATCGACGCAATTCCTTTGGGCATTGTTTCTGGGTGGGCCGGTGGGGATTCGCGAGGCGTCGGCCACTTAATCCCAATAGCTGCTTCCTAAGGGACCGTGGCCATATACGAACTTAGACACTACCTAGTCATATGGTTTAGGCAGGTTGGATAGCGGATTGGATCTAATGGTCTACATTGTGGATGTAGTTGTCCGCTCATTCGGGGCATCGTGGCCACCGCGGGCCACGGCGACAGATGAGCGCCGCGGGGCGCGGACCACTCGGGGGAGGGCGGGCGGGGAGGAGAGAGGCGATGCGCTCTTATTAGGGCGGGGGAGGGGGGGAAATTGACTATAGCTAGCTGGCTCGGCGCAACCTGAGTTCGGTGATGCGGCGTCGGCAGACAGCGCGCGCAGGCGCAGCGCCGACGCGCGAGCAGAACGCACGCTCGCCACCCGGATGCGCGACATCTTGCGGCGATGCGCAACGCGCCCCCCTTCGCCAGCTCGCATGGTAAATCTGCCGGCAGAAAGGGGCGCATGCTAAATTCGCATGACGTACCCCGACAAATCCAAAGACCCGCTCTCCTCGCCATCAGCAAGGGCGCGTTCAGAAACTGATGAGTTCCCTCCCTGCGTCAGTGGCCTCAAGACCGCTGCGCGCCAACATTCTCTGGTCGCGGCCCAAGGCTCGGAGCCGCACGTTGTCTGCGCGCTCGACTTTCCTGTGGCGCCCGTGGCCATCGACCAGCCGCGCCGCGAGGAAGCCGCACGGCCTCCCTCCTTTCATCTCTCCACCAGCAACTCTCTTCAACCTGGAAGTTCTCGTCAGGGCGCGCACGTGCCTGGCGCAGACTGCCTCGAAACAGCGCGTCGACTCATAGTAGCTGATCTCCCCCGTGCCCACGTGAACAGCTGCCTCGGCAGGTCTCTGGCCGCCGCGCACAGGAGGCCCAGCGGCAAGCGGCGGAGGCAGCTCTGGCGGCGGTGGAGCGGCTGCCGCCGGCGGCAGCTCCTCATGCGGCGGCAGCGGGGGCGGCGGCGGCGGCGGCCCTCCTGAACCCGATGCCGCTGAAATGGCAGCCCCGCCGCCATCGCCTCCACTGGGGCCAGTAGAGGAACCAGCGTCGCCGCCAGCTCCTTCGGCCCCGTCATCGGGGATCATGGCCAGAAACATGTCCATTAACTCATCCAAGTCGCCGCGTGGCCCGACGTCCCCGCCACCCGCGCCGCCTCCCTCAGAGCCCTCATCCTCGGCGAGGTCCTCCTCGGGGTCGCAGCTGTCGCCGTCTGCCAGCGCCTGTGAGCCCGACGCAACTGATGACCAATCAGGGGCAGGAGTAACTTTCACGTTCGCGCCCTTCTTCTCCCACACAGGCGGCCAGGCGCGGTAGACAGGGCCGGCGCTCTCAACCGATACAATGTCTGCCGAAAGATACGGCAGAGCCAAGCAGGTAGAGCAAATCTGGAAGAACTCGACTGTCCACTTGGATTTGAAGGACATTTCGCTGAAGGCCTGCATCTCTGCGTAGAAGCTGCCGACAGCCTGCGGCATATTGGGGGGCGCCGAGGGATCCCCTATGAAACCGTTTGCCCCCAACCTTCTGCATGGCCAGATCCAAACACCTGAATGCCAAGGGGGGCGGGGGCTGGGAAATGCGCGAGGCGCGCGCGCTGGTGCAGCGCCCGCAACGGCGATGCGCCGGGGCGCACAGGAAATACATTTAACCTGTAGAAACGCATGGCAGACACGTACATCCCGCGAGCCTTTCGCTTGATCTTCCGCTCATCCTCAGGCTGAGCAGCCGGCTTCTAGAACTTGCTGGAGGTCGGCCGAAATTGGTTCAGGTACATCGCGGCGATGTGGAAACACAGCTCCACAGGGGGTCCCTCGGCGCCCCCCAATGGCGAACCCTCAAGCCGACACGCGATGAAGCCATCGACCAGCAATGCTCGCACTGAAGATCGCGGTGAGCCGGTGGCCTTGGGATGGACCAAATACTTATTCCGAAACTCCCCCCTGCGCAGCCCACTCCCTTGACACATGCAGATGCCAGCCTTCATGCGCGGAGCGGGGAGCGCAGCTGGGGCCTCGACAGGAGAGCAATCGCCCCTCATGATTTTGCGATGTCCCCGCGGCCGCCGCTGCTCTAGGCACTGCCAAGTTGCATTTGCTGAACGCCTCCGCCCACGCAACGCCGACTTTCGCACGCCGCGCTGACGGGGGCCGAACGAAGAAGCAATGACCACGGCCCTCGCACGGCACTGGAACAATATCAGACTGCCGCAATATAAATATTTGCCTGCGGACCCCCCCACACACACACACACGAAACCAACGCCACTGCCAACCTCGAACTCAGAAAGCGCGCCCTGCAAATCCTTCTCCTGCCAGGCAGCCCGCTGCCGATTCTGTGAACTCAGCCCCCTGGCAACGGCCACGTGGCAAGATATATCCATGAATGAAGCGCCCCCTGGGAGAGGTCTCACCGCGTCGCCGCTCGTCGACCGCGCGCGATTGGCCTGCGCCTGCCGCGTTGCCCGAAGTCTCATGGCAGCGCGCTGCTTCTCGCTCAGTCCGACCGGCCCTATCTCGGGGCCGGTGCGCTCAGCCCTGGCAGCGACAGCGGCGAGGCTGCCACCACTTACAAGTCTGTTCGAATCGTCACCGCGCCGTTGTTTGATCTCTCTGTACTGGGCGCTCAGGGCTCTGATGTCACCACCTCGCATCCCCCCCGCAGCTGAAGTCGCCGTGCTCACATGGGCCCTCCAAGAGCCCCCTGGCCTCATGCGCTTCTTCTCCTGCGCGGGCTCGCCGGGCACGGCGCCCCCCCCCCCCCCCCCCCCCCTGCAACGCGAGGGCACGGCGAATGGGCAACGTGCGCGTGCCATTACGACCCCGCGAATGCGCCACCGCGCCGCTGGGCGCGGCGGCAGATTGGCGCGGTCGGAACGCCTACTCCTCCAAGCACTCGTAGGGAGTCCATGAAGGGCCCTGACCTCACAGTGCCAAACATTATTGGGCTCGTCGCGCGCTCCCCGGGGCTCCTCGCAGCGTCTCGCGCGATTTTTCCAGGCCCGATGGAAGGCCCGAGATGGGGCGGGAGGGCATCGCGCGGCCCTCGAGACGGCCCAGGAAGAACCCAGGTCGCCCGACGATCGCCCCAAGACGCTCAAGATGGCCCCAAGATAGCCCAAGACGCCTCCAAGACGCCCCAAAAGGGCCCCGAGAGCCAAGAGGGCCCAGAGGTACCAACATAACGCATATTCCACGTGTGTTTCAATGCTCTGGGCGTCGATCCTTCCAGCCCCCGACGCTCCAAGACTGCCCAAGATGCCCCCAGGACCGCCCCATGACGGCCCACGAGGCCCCCAGGAGGGCCCCAGCACCACCCAAATCAAGCTCCAAGGCGGCCCCAGAGGCGCCCAAGACGACCCCAGAAGGTCCAAAGACAACCCCAAGGAGGGCCCAAGAGGGGGAACACGAATCGACACTCCGAGCCCCCGCCCCACGAAGCCCCCCATGAGGCCTCAAGGAGGCCCCGAGAGGCCCCCCGAGAAGCCCCAACAGATCCCCAGGAGGCCCCGAAGACGCCGTCAGAAACCCCAGGACGGCCCCCAAGAGGCTTCAAACTTGCCCCCAACCGAGAGGCCTCGCGCGACACCCCAACGAGCATCCAACATACGGGCTTCTGGCCCACAACCCAAGCACGGTGCCGCGATGGGGAGGCCACCAGATAAGTCATCTCCACGCCCCCGCCCCCCCCCCCCCCCCCCCCCCCCCCCCCCTTCCGCACCCCCCCCCCCCCCCCCCGCCACAAGCAGCGCCACCACCGCCACCACCACCGCCGCCACCACCACCAACAACCACCACCACCACCGCCACCGCCCACCACCCAACCACCCAACCATTGCGCGCCGTGGTTCGGACTCAGAATTGCGCGCCCCCCCCCCCCCCCCCCCCCCCCCCCCCCCCTCGTCCGCAAACCTAACTTCGCGCTGCCCCATCGGACCTTGCGCCCCCTGATCGCCCTATTCTCGCGCCCCCGCCCTGCTCGCTCGCACTGGTCTCGTGGCGGCGCTGGCCAGGCCAAGGTCGCGCCCTCTGAAGAGCGCGAGCTTGCTGCATCAGCAACTCGGCGGAGGCGTCCTCGATGTTGAGCATGTGTGTGTGGGTTGACCTCTGCTCTAGCCGGAGTCGGACGGCAGCGCGCTTCGCCTCCGCGCACGCGATGTCCACTTGAGCGGGCACGGCGAGGGTGAGCAGCACCTCCGAGAAGTCCCGGCAAACCACGTCAGGGAAGCGGGCGCGCAAATCTTTAACCCACGGCCCCTTTTCATACAGTCTGGGGATCGGTTCAACCACGAACAGCCCGAAGACTCTGAAGTGGAAGAGGGAGTGGTTCGAAACGTGGAGCTGCCCCGCCAGCGCGCCTTCCCGCGCGAGCAGGCGGAACGCCAGACAGCTGAACTCCTCTGTGTAGCACCTCTCTGGAAACGAACGCCAGCGATGCGGCCCAAGCCAGATCGCCTGGAGCTCCCTGAAGAACTTGTCCTCCAGTAGGAGCTTTCGCGCGGTGACGATCCTGTAGCCCCTAGCGCCTAGTCCTGGAAGGCGCCCCATCTGAGGCGACCTCGCCACGGCCGCCCTCTGGCTGAGCTCCCAGCGCAGGCTAACCATGTTCAGCTGATCGTGGAGCACGCGCACGATGGGATCGAGCGCGCACCTCAACAACACCAGGTCAGGCAGGGGATCTCTCGACAACCTTTCGAGCGTCCACTTCCTGTCCCTTGCGTTCTTCTCTGCGAAGCTCGGCCCCGCGTCAGCGCGGCCAGTGTTGTCGACGACCTCGTGTCCATCAGCTGGGGCAGCGTCGGCGGATGCCTCCACCCCTGGCCCGCGATGGACGCGCGCGACATCATCGACCCCGCCGTCTTCCAAAACACCAGCGGCACCATCGGCGCCCGCCGCCCCGCCAATAGGGCCCGCGGGAGGTAATTATTTGCCGAGAGTTCGGGAAAACGAAGGATACGTCGCAGACGCCAGCCCGTGCGTTGCTTCGAGGCGCCCCCAAAAGTCAACTGCGATCTCCGGGCCCGCCCACCGATGTCCCGGCCAGGCGCTGGGCTTCGCGCTTAGCAAGGCGAAGCTGAGACCGTCCTCAATGACGCTTGCCACTGCAGCTATGCCGTTGTCGGTCACAAGCACGTTTGGCACGCATACGTCGACGTAATCTCGATTCCTCCAGTCGCCACGTGGAAGACAAGCGACAACTACTTTCTTCACCTCCCTGTCAGGGCCAGTCTCGGGGGGGGGGAAGAACTTGATGACAGAGCTCTCGTACTGAACAACGTCATATGGCAGCCCCTCGGGCACGAGCTTGATCCTGGACTTGATCACGTGCCTCAAGCACTCCCTAAACTGATACAAATAGCCGCTGAGCTGCAAGGAGAGAGATGCGTGAACCACCGACGAAATCGTGCGAGGCACGAGACTCTCAAACGTCTTGCTGTGAATACCTGCTGTCACGTGAACCCCGCAGAACAAGCGCAGGGACGCCCATCCATGTCGGTCAGATGCGATGCTGTTCTCCTCGACGACGCTGGGCTTCGCGGAGTCAGAGCAGCAGAACCTGGCACAGGAAATACGCATCAGCAAAGCGGTGAAGCGCTTTCTGCAGGACCTGGCGGTCGTGGCCTGTCTGCCTGGCGATCTGAGACCCGTTCAGCACGAGCCCAGAGGAAGTGCACCAATGAATAGCCACACCCAGGACGATAGGACGCTGCACAGCACCAGGTGACATCCCCATCGCAACGCACGACCCATAGTGAAATGATAATGGGCTGGGCGGCGCAAGGGATACAACAAAAACTGGCACGCTCTTATCCCATTCCCTCACCATCACACCCGGTCATCAGTTGTGCCGCGGGCGCATAAGAATCAGACTCCGTGGGCACTGGTGGCGAGTCCAACTCCACCGATTGTGAATCCAACTCACCTGATATGGAACGCACCCACGGCGCTGGACGACCTGTTATCATTATTTTCTGTGGCGGCTGGGGTGCCGGAGAGTCGCCCAGCGCGTGCAGCAACATGTTCGGCTCGGTGGCGGCGGCTGGTGCATCTGGGGCCAAGCTGGCTGCGTCTATGGCCGCCACCGAGCCCCATGGGTCCACCTCGGGCGATTCAGGCTCCACTGCGACTGTCGCTGCCACGGCAGCCCACATGATGCAGACGATTGACACAGATGAACGAACCTGAAGGGTCATCACGTTCAGAAAGGCGGGGGGCCAAAACCTCTCGAGCCCAAATGGCTAAGGACGGGAGGGTGTGCAGGGGGAGCACAGGGGGCGTGGGGTGGGCCACCGTTCCGCGAAAATGCACAGACGCGGAGAATGACTATTGGGAGATATGGGAGAGGCATTTTTTGGGCGTCGACCGCACTGTGCTGGGGGTCCCTCGGCAAGGCGCAACATTGCAGCTTGGCCCGCGTTAGTTGGCCTGGAACGTCGCTCGGCGAGGCGCAGCATCGTGATGCAGCAACGGGAGTCGCAGACATAGTAAGCTCTGGGCGAGGCGCGGAATTGTAAGGAATGTCTCTGGGCGAAACTCAATGTTGCATTGGCGTTTGAAGGTGTTGCGTCGCGCGTGCCCTCTCAATAATGGGGTGCGTGGGATGT